AAGCAGCCAGGCGGGCTTCGCGACGGGGGCCCTGGCCGACCCCGGCTTGGGCTGGCCTGGGCTGGTTCGGGGCTCTGCAAACGGGGGTCAGCCAGAGCGCCAGACCCTGCAGGATCCTGCAGGGCCAGGGTCGCACTGACTCGGGTTCGGGTGCAGGATCCTGCAGGATCCGTGGCCCTTGCCCGTGTCTGGGCGCAGGACCCTGTAGGATCCTGCAGGATTCTGTCAGGCCTGCCTGACCCGGGCCTGGACTGACCCGGGTCTGGAGATCCCCGACTGGTGCGTCCCCGAAGGGCGTCTTTTTTGGCTTCTCGCTCGCGCGCGCCGCCGCACGCGCCCGTGCACGGAAGAGCAGGGCACTGCTGCGGCGGGGCGTGCGCGCATGCAGCGGAGGCCCATGCGAAGAAGCGCCCCGCTCGCCTCTGGGGTGCCCCGGGTCTATCGGGGTTCGATGGTTTTGCGGTGGAAGGTGTGGCGTTCCCACCAGCAAATTCATGGACGTCCTGGGGTCTCGGGATTAGGTTTCTTGTGGGAGGTTTCTTGTGGTCGGGCCTCCACTGTGTACCTTTCGCGGCGGTGGTGCGTTTGCGCTGCCCCGCGGCTTGGAGCATGAGCCTGTATCACGCGCAAGACATGCTGGCTGGTATTCTTTTGCAGCTGCGGCATCGAGCCAGTCATCGCGGCAGGAGAACGAGCAGCATCTTTCACAGCACGCGTGGCGTTGACCGCGCGCATCGAGTGAGGCTTCCATGTTCTAATTGTGCTTCATAGGCCTCCGTAGAAAACCTGCGTGCTACAGGCGCGCCCGTCTTTCTTGCAAGGGCGCCAGACTTCCTGGCGATGGCGGAGTTCGTTCGTCCGTTCGTTCGCGGCTTGCTCCAGGCTTTAGCCGGAGAAGATGTTCATTCACACGTTTTCTGTTTTTTCGGTGCGGAGGCGGTCTTGCGTGGGCGCCCTGCCGTACACTTTGAATGTTAGCATTTTTCCCCTCAGACGCATGCAAACATGCTGAGCACGTGTGGGCCTTTCAGCCCTCTTCCGGACGGTGTGATGCAGGACCCCCCTACCTTTCTTCGCTCATGATTTGTGCTGCGGGGCTTCGTCATTCCTTTCTGCCGTCTTCAGGCCTTTCTTCTATCAATCGGCCAAGAGCTCCTGAATCTTTGCTTGCTCGGATCAGCGTGTCGTGGTAATGCGTGCCGAACTTTTGCAGCCTCCCTCCTGCCTCCCTCACTCCCGCTCTCATCCTCGCTACATTCCTCTCCCTCCCTCCTCCTTCCCTCGTCTCTTCTCCGCCTCCTGTATACTCCATCTTCCCTCCTCTCCTCTTGTTATCCCTCGTCTTTCCCTGCTACCCACCTCGCGGAGGAGGACGAGGACTGGGGTGATGATGATGATGATGCTTATGATGATGATGCTGATGATGATAACGATGATGATAATTATGATGATGATGATGATGATGATGATGATGATGATGATGATGATGATGATGATGACACTGATGATGATGGTGGTGATGCTGATGGTGATGGTGACGATGCTGATGATGATGCCGATGACGATGACGACTGTGATTGTACTGGTGGTGATGCTGACGGTTACGATGATGATGATGTTGATGACTGTGATGGTGATGGTGATGGTGATGTTGATGATGACGATGATGATGATGATGATGATGACCATGACGATGACGATTATGACGATGACGACGCCGACGAATATGATGATGATATGATGATGATGATGACCATGACGATGACGATTATGACGATGACGACGCCGACGAATATGATGATGATGATTATGATGGAAGAGAGGATGAACTTGGTGATGGTGGTGATGATGATGACGATGACGATGATGAGGGTGATAACAACGATGATGATGATGATGATGGCGGCGACGATGATGATGACAATGCTGGTGACAAATCTGCTGCTGATGTTGATGATGATCAAGATGGCTGTGACGATGACGATGGTGATGATTATGACGATACTGATGCCGATGATGACGATGCTGATGTTTCTGAACGTGATGCTGACAATGATGATACTGGCGCTGCCGATGGTGATGGTGATGATGATGATGATGATGATGATGATGATGATGATGACGTGAACGATTACGACGATGATGATGAAGGTTGCAATGATGATGACACTGATGATGATGACGATTACGATCGCGATTATGATTATGAGACCGACGATGACGATGACAATGGTGACGATTGCGACCATGATCATGATGCTACGGTGCCGGCGACAATGCTGATGACAATAATGATTATGATGATGAGCATCGATGGTGTCGATGTTGACAATGACGACGATGACGGCGACGATGACGATGACGATATTGTTGATGCTGATCATGATGATGATGATGCTGATGTTGAGGATGATGGTGACGATGCTGATGATAATGATGATGATGATGATGATGATGATGGTAATAATGACGACGATGATGACCATGACGATTATTTTGC